ACTGAGACATATAGGAACATGAGGTGTGACATACTAATGAAAAAAATGAAGGTAAGGAGGGAGAGGGAAGGTAAGAAGGAAGAAATGTGATAAAGTTTGAACTTCTTTTCTCATTTTGTTCTACTGCTGCACACTGCTAGCTCATTAGGTCTCTAAGATCATTCTCGTAGTTACTGTTTTCAGATTCACACAACCTATTTTAATAGTTGACAAGGAAAGGGAGGAGGAGGAGGAGGAGGAGGAGGAGGAGGAGGAGGAGGAGGAGGAGGAGTTATTTAACTAATCATGACTGACATTTCCATTCGAATTCAGCTGTTTTCTCAGTTGGAAGCCAACTGCAGATACTGGAGAACAAAACTTTTTACTATAATTTTCTTTTTAATTTTTTGACTTAAGCTGTGCTGCACACCAACTAGACACAACTAGACACAAGAACAGTTTTTTCCTGAATGCCATCACTCTGCTAAATAAATAATTCCCTCAACATTGTCAAACTATTTACTAAGTCTGCACTTCTATTAATCTTCTCATCATTTCTATCACCCATCTCCTCCTGCGCATGACTCTATGACTGTAACCTTGTTTCTGGTATCATTACGATTTATATTGACTGTTTCCTAATATGATTTGATTGCTTATTTCTACCCTATGACTATCATTAAGTGTTGTACCTTATGATTCTTGATGAACATATCTTTTCTTTTATGTACACTGAGAGCATATGTACCAAGACAAATTCCTTGTGTGTCCAATTACACTTTCCCAATAAAAATTCTATTCTATTCTATTCTTCTATTAAACATTCCATCTTCCATTAAACAGTCTGTCATCTGGTATATATATATCTGTGCAATAACAATCAAAATTTACAACAGTATTCATTACATTGATATTGATTCTCTAATCTTACAATAAAAATAATGAGTATAAAACATCTATTTATTTCTCCCTCTTAACATATCTTCTAATAAGAATATAATAATAACATTAAATATAATAATCTTAATAGTCGTATTAGTAAGAGTCATCCTATTGTTTGTATCTCTATCTTAACATGTTTTCTATATTTCACTGATCTCCATTTATTTCTAACTTCTATTTTTGTTTTCCAACCATTCATAAAATAACTCCCATGTCATATCATGTTCAGTTTGTCCTGTCCAAGCATTAATCTACTCATTTCTGCACATTTTAATATTTTCCTAATCACATTCTCATCAGTAGGGATCTCTCCACTTTTCCAGTTTTGTGCAAATACAATTCTATCTGCGGTTAATACGTGTATAATTTAATATGCATTTCCTTTCCTATTAGTTTCAGGTAAAATCCCCAACAAAAATATTTTTGGTTTTAAGTCAATGTGCTGCTTTATCATCTTTTCTAACCCCATTTGTATTTTTATCCATTTTTTTTTTGCTTCTACACATGTTCACCACATATGATAATATGACCCAGATATCTGGTGGCATTTCCAACATTTAACTGACTTTTCTTTAAACATCTTTGCCAACCTTGCCAGTGCAAGATGCCATCTATAAAACATCTTATACAGATTTTCTTTATATGCAGTTGACATTATTAGTTTATAGTTCCTGTCCCACAACTTCTGCCATTTATCTAATTCTATTGTGTAACCAAAGTTTTTTGCCCATGCTATCATTGTCTCCTTCATTTGTCCATCTTACAGTTTAATGACCAATAAGTAATTTTACAGCTTTCTTATCAATCTTTCTTCTGTCCCTGTTAATATCTTATCTAATTCTGTTAATTCTTTATAGAAACCATATTTAGCAACTTTCTCATATCTAGAATGTATCTGCACTTGTGAATACCATGCCATGTCGATCCCTTGATCACTCAGCTCTTGTTTAGTTTTAAGTTCCTCCTTTTCATTCAAAATATCTTTATATCTAACAATATTTCCCATGTTAATGATGTTTGGGTGGATCAGTGCTTCCTTTGTTGAAAGCCAAACTGGTATCCTCAAATAATGTTCTCTAAATTTCTCCCATACTAACAATAGTGCATTCCTTATGAAATGTCTTTGAAAGTAACTATGGGTCTTGTTTTTCTCATACCACAAGAAGGCTTGCCAACCCAGTTGTAAATCATGGCCTTCCAGAGTCAATAGTCTGAGAACAAAACTTTTTACATTTCTCATTTAATTCTTTCTGTCCCCCATCACTATTATTTTGTCCTTAATTCCAGGTTACAATACACTGTGTATTATAAGTTGGTTTGAGAATGTTTTAAAAAGATGTAACTCATATAAATGATGGTAAATCTTTTGGCAGTAGGTAAACTTCTAAAACAGAATTGAGAAAATAAAAAGGGGATATATGTTGAAGTATTTTTAGGATTAGGGATTTAAATCTTTCAGCAGTTTTGACATTTCCATAATATTATCTACTTGTCAATGAAAATTTCATAAAACAAATAACTAACACAACATACAATTATTTACAAGAGTAAATAATATACAGCAAAGGGGAAACCACATGGATTTACTGAAGCATATAAGCCAATTAAAGCCCTCTAAAGTATCCAAAGTAAATCAAAAGACCCAGCTGTCCCAGAGTAGAAATAAAACATATAGTATATACAACATATAGTGTAAGGACTGTAACAGGCCCTGTGTAGGACAAAAGTCAGAAGACTAGTAGAGCACATCCATGAACACCAACTAGCAATCATCACAGAAGACATGATAGATGTGCCTTAATTTCCATGCTGATTTCCATGTCAGAATACATGGAATGACTTAACCATAGGTTCAAATGGGAAACCAGTTTCAACTGAGAATCAGAGACCAAGCAAGTCCAAAAATGCTTATAGAGGTAACAGCAACTATAAATCATTCAAAAGAGACAATCAAAAAGCCAAAAAGAAAACAAAAAGTTCAAAATACCTCCTTATCAGCAATCAACAGAAAGATCAACAATCAAGTAAACAAGTCCAGTCAAGAAACTAATAATGCAGTCAAACAAGCTAACATTAAACAACAGCTTAATCAAGGAACCACAAAGATCACTCTGACAGGAAAGCCACTAGATACAATGAGAGCAAACCCCACTCCTTTGTGGTACAGATGATGTTATCTACTAATCCAATGAAAAATCTTCAAGAAAACAATCAAGCTCAGAGAGTACTAAGGTCCAGAAAGTTCAACCCTCAGTTACAAATATTATCTTTTATTGAAACAGCAAAGTTTGGAAAAAAAACTATGTATGTATAGTACATTTATATTTATGTGTATGTATATACACATAAAGGGTATGGGTCTCTCTCGGAAGGAAGGAAGGAAGGAAAGAAAATAAGAAAGAAATTGGGCTTCAATCAAAGACCCATATAGAAGAGGAAGAAATGCCCCAAATGTGCCAAGAAGTAGAAGTTATCCTACTTCTGTTACTGATTTCCCCAAAAGGGAAAATCTGCATTGTAGAATTATGTATGCAGTGCTAATGCTAATATTATAAGTATTATAATATTATAATGCATAAATAAGCACATTATTGACCAACAGGCATATCAAACAAAATTCAGACAATACTAGTATTTTGATTAATTGTATTATTTTTAGAATATCTGAAGAGAAAGATGCTTCTTAACAGTGAGATCCAAATTTCATTTAATGCAGTTTAATTTGTTGTTTAATTAATCATGACTGAAATTTTCATTTGAATCCAGTTGTTTTCTCAGTTGGAAGCCAACTGCAGATCCTGGAGAACAAAACTTTTTACATTTCTCATTTAGTTCTTTCTGTCCCTTCTCACTATTATTTTGTCCTTAATTGCAGGTTACAATACCCTGTGTATCACAAGTTGGTTTGTTCACCTGAGCATGTCTAGTTCTCTATTATCATGATCAATTATGCATTCTTATTTTCAATCTCTAAGGAGTTAGAGAAAATATTAAAAGCAATGTATTTCAACAGCAACAAAAATGCAATTTTCCTCTTTCTCCAAGGGAACAGCTAGAGGACAATGTCCTGTCATTCTGATTTTTAAAAAAGTAAACCTCTACTTTAAAGCAGCCTCATGGAACACTGTATCTCAGGCTGTCCTATTTCAAATGCCTAATTCTAATCCAGTGAACAGATGGCTGAGAGATAAATTGCTCTACAAAATGATATTATTCTTTGGATCTGTAGCAATATTGTCCTTGTATGTAGAAGCTGATACAACCCTTGCTAAATGTTCTGTAGGAAATCAGCCTTTTATTAAGCACAAGCGATATCATTCAGAAGATTTGGTCATTGCGGGCATTTCTTTTCAAATTTACATGGTATCTGATGAACTAACATTCAGAAGAAATCCATCAGATGAACTGTTTGGTGATTTAATGTATGGAATTCCTGTTTTTCAGTAATGCAAATACAGAAAATAGTTAAAGCTGTGACATGTTAAATTGCCTATCCTGTACTATTATTTCTCAATAATATTGCTTCAATTTCCATCTCTTACACAAGTAATTTTCCAATGTGTTTTTATTTCTATGGCTTTGGTACCATTCTAGCAGGCATCAGTTTAATTTTTATACACTTTTTTCATATGGCTATAACTTGATGAAGTTCAAATGAAATAAATCGCTGCAGAGCATTGCTTCATATCAGCGATATGTTAAGGTGTGCATGGTTGCAGTTAGTCCTACATGCAGATATTATATCAAATATTCCTCAGAAATTTCCAGTGTATTGAATAAGGAAAGTAGAAAATTGGGGTAGGAAGTAAAATTAAATATAGACCTCCAAATTAAGAAAAAAACAACAACACTGATTATTGATGTTTATGGCATTTTGCAATTGGGCTGCCTAAATGCATATGGATTGTTATATTGCTTTGACCTCTTCCTTGCATATTTTAAACAAATGGTTTGTTTGACTCTAGTGCATCCACCTTTACCAGTGTTCATACTATGCACAATCTAAATTTGTGTGATACAATTAGAATGCAGCCAATTCCAGATTTGTTTGTTGTTCTAAAACTCACTTCAGGTTTAATATGCAAAACTACCAGCACATCTTGGCTTTGGAATTTGCAATCAAAGAAATCAATGAGAATTCCAGGATCTTGCCTAACATCACCCTCGGTATCCATATCTCCAATAGCTATTTCCTGGCAAGATGGATTTATCTGGCTACCTTGGAGCTTCTCACTACAAAAGGAAGGTTCATCCCAAACTACAAATGTGACCTCAAGGACAATGTAATATCTGTGATTGCAGGACATAATGCTTTCATTGGTCAGTTCATGTCAAACATTCTGAGTATATATAAGATCCCACAGGTAAGAGCCATCCCATAAAGAAAGGAGTCAAATCTAAATACAGTATTTCTAACTTGATTTAGTTTAATTTCTATTCCAAACTTTTATCTTTATGAATCTATTAGTGTCAGAAACATTCAAAACAAAGGAATAACATCGCCTCATATATTTAAAATCACAATCAAGCTAAACATCAAAATCTATTTCATCCAGGGTGGGACAGAGAGGAATGATTCAAAATGCTAGAAAATTATGTATATCTAATCTATGGGGGAAATCATGTCATGGAAACATGTGTAAACATAGCATAATCCAGAGGTTCATATTCATTCTTGAAGTTCTTACATTTCTGGAGCATTGTTTATTAAAAAAAAAACCTAAACAATTATCTTAGAATTTATATTGGAATATGCAAATAGTGATCAATTCTGTCCTTTCCTGGAGAACATTAATATTTAAATAAGATCCTAAAAATAGACAAAAGTGATTTGGAAGTATATACTCTAATTTCTTCTCTTTTTTTAGCTCATGTATGGTTCAACTGCAGAGATAGATGACAACATACAAGCTGCTTTTTTCTGTCAATTATTTCCAAATGAAGACCTTCAAATTATGGGGCTGGTCCAATTGTTGCTTCACTTCCAGTGGAAATGGATTGGGCTCATTGTCCAGAACCCTGAAAATGGGAAGAGATTCATACAGAATAGACTTGATATATTTTCTAAGAAAGGCATTTGTTTTGATTTCATGGAAGAAATGCTAAAGGAATCCATTACAAATGATGTTGAAATTCAACTTAATTGTTATGTTTTGCTATATAAGGCTATTATGAGAGGTACTGCCAATGTTGTAATCATATATTGTGAAAATGAGGACATGCCTGTTTTTAGAATGTTGCCATTTATTTCAGAATATGAAGACATGCCAATGAAGAGAAAAGATAAAGTTTGGGTCATGCCAGCACAGATGGAATTCACATCAGTCCCCTTTCAAAGATACAGGGGCATGGATTTCATCCATGGTGCACTATCGTTGGCAGTTTCCTCAAAGGAAATATTAGGGTTTAAGAAATTTACTCAGATGAGAAAGCCTTCTTCTTCAGAAGAAGACAGTTTGACAAGAGTGTTTTGGGAAAATGCATTTGAATGTTCTTTCCCAAATGCTGGGTTAGATGAGGACAGTGACAATCAATGCACTGGTGAAGAGTCACTGGAGACCCTTCCTGAATCTGTGATTGAATCTAGTATAACTGGGCAAAGTTATAGCATTTACAATGCTGTCTATGCAGTGGCCCATGCTCTGCAAGCCATGCTTTCATCTAAGAGCAGAAAAAGACGAAATGCTTGGGAACTCAGTCAACAGTCGTGGCAGGTAAAAACGACATGAATGAAAATACAGTTATATAAATGTTCAGCTAGGATTTTAGAGTTGTATAGCTAATAAGAGCATTCTGAAGCTGAACTAACTCATAAGTGATATGTCAGAACTTCAAATAATAATTCCAGATAACACTAAACATGGGGTGCAAGAATGCACAATGAGAAGGTGGCAATGTCAAATGTTAATTTAAGAGAAGTTTTGGAAGGAGTGTGGGGTAAATCAGTTTCCAAATGAATGGGACTGTTTAATAGGATATAAGGAATGTGTCCTTGTATCCCACAGTGGTTTGTGATAGTTCTATCAAAACATTCCACTAGGAACCTCTTAACCTTATGATGCAAATGCTTCTTCTAAGACCATTGTTCTGTTTAAATAACAGAAGTGCTGGAAGTAACTTGAGATCTATTATGTAATTGCTTATGAATCATTTTTGCCCTCCTTTTTGAAATATAAGTTCTCTGCAGAAGTTCCTTCCACTAATTTCTGAGTGGATGTTTTTCAATTTTTCCTAACTTAACAATGAATACTGTAATTATCTTTGATTATTTGCTTGGATTCTGAGTTTTGATTCCATAGTCAGGAGAAGATTATGAGATGTGGAAGGAAGGAGGGGAGGGAGGGAGGGAGGGAGGGAGGGAGGGAGGGAGGGAGGGAGGAAGGAAGGAAGGAAGGAAGGAAGGAAGGAAGGAAGGAAGGAAGGAAGGACATTGAGGTGCAGTGAGTCTTGATTATTTGCTTGGGGTCCTGCATTTTGATTCCACAGTGACGAGAAGAGTATTTGAGATACATAAGAGAAACAGAAAGGATGGCATTGAAGAGTGATCAATATACAGACCAGATAATTTTTTTTGTTGGCTCTTCATAGATCAAATGCTCACAATATTTTAGTACATCAGAGCTTCTGAGCAACAGCAAGTAACCAGGGTGCCATTAAGAGTCAATATTATTGGTCCAATTGACATAGATGATAATATTGCTTCCAACATGCATGGGAATACTAAAGGAATTCTAAATACCTAAATGCTTTTTAGAAAGGATGCATAAGTCATTAGAAGGACTGTTAAGAGAAAGTAAATGGCAATTTAGTCCCGGGAAAGAAGACAGTGTGAGAGAGACTAATTTTGCCTTAGAAGGAAATTCCTGCAGGTATTCAAGTTTCTTTTGCCATACCCCATTACAATAAATATTCCTCATATTATATTTGTTGATCAGTCTGCCTTAAAAGAACAACACCTAATTTATTAAAGATCCTACATTCATACTTGCTCATTGCTTCCAATTGTTATAAATTTCTTTTAATGATTTCCATGTAGTTTCATTGGTATCTGAAAGCTGTTTCATTTAACAACAGTGCTGGGGACATAGTTTCCTTTGACGAAAGAGGAGAACTAGCAACTGGATTTGATGTTATCAACTGGGTTACCTTCCGCAACCAATCATTTCATCGAATCAAAATTGGAAACATAGCTCCAGTGACTCCCCCTGAAAATCTCCTTACTCTTTCTGCAGAGGAGATCATCTGGCCCACCATGTTTAACCAGGTAGTTTTGGCACCAATATCAAACCACAGTGAATAATTTATTTTATTTTTACTTACGGCTTCAATGCTCAGAATGTTCTTTCAGGAATTACAGGCATAAAATGACTCTTTTCTCAAAGTGACTCGTGAACACGATTACCCTAAAATAAAAAAACCTATGTAAAAAAGTGATTAGAAGAGAGATTTCTATAAAGGGGGATTCTTCCAAAGAAGCAATTAAACATTCTTTCAAGTAGACAGTATAAAACATCCTTGGAGGCATTAAGACATAATTTTATTTTAGAAATGAATCCTTTCTGGGGATTCTATTTGCAGTCCCACCAATTGTGGCAAAGGACATAGTGCTTGATTATATGAATAACAAAAGACTCTTAAAAATAACCAATATGGCTGCACTTCCTAAATTATACCACTTTCTCTCACATGGTTACTTAAGGGTGTATGCTTCGTACAACATGGTCAACCTACCATCCAGCCTGGGTCCTTACTTAATTGGTAAACATTTACCCAACATCATATTTTTGCAATAGAGTTGCATTTCTCATATCTTAAGTGTTGTTTGTAAGATGACTAAGGCTGCTTGCTTCTCCCACTGTGTGTTTCTGGCCTGTTTGACAAAACTTTGTTAATACAGTGATAACTCTGTAGTCATTGTTAATTGGTTCCGGGAGGCACGATGAGTACCAAAAATGATGAGTACCAAACAAATTGTTCTCATAAGCAATAAGGTTGTGAGTCACAAGATAGCTGATATCAACAAGTTCTAGCTTCTTCAATGAGTATTAACCAAACAATGAATTCAATGAGTTTCAAAGCAGCTGAGTTCCAAGATACCACTGTATATGCCTTAAGTAGTAGTCAAATCCAATTCTTCAGATGCAAGAATTCCTGAAACATTAAGTAATAATTTCTCAATTTTCCTTCTTAATGTCCAATAGGTACAGCCCTTTTCTATGTGCAATCCTCCATGTTCATCAGGTTGGAGCAAAATAAAAATAGAAGGAAAGCCTTTTTGCTGCTATGATTGCCTTAAATGCCCAGAAGGGAAAATTTCAAACAAGACAGGTAAGAGATCTAAAGCAGAGATTTCAATGCTATGTATTTTGTGCGATGCCTTATTTTACTCTTTAATTATAAACAATAGTTTACCATATCTTTACATATCTTTATAATATAGGATAGATCTTGATTACTTGATTACTTAGGAGTCTATTCAAATATCATGCCATATTTTTTTACTTTGGGAAATATAAATCAGACCATAAAAATAAATCTTTTCATCTATGGTTTCTATGAAAGTAAAGAGATTTCAAGATTGGGTGGAATGAACCTACTGTCATTTTGGGAATTGCAGTTCAGAAAGATTTAAAATAAATGGTAAAGGAGAGATCTCAGTTAGTTAAAGAAGCATAATTTCTTGATAATGTATTTTGGGAAACAAACAATAATTTAAATTTAGATTATGTTTTTATGTATTTATTACATTTCTATACCATCATCTGAATTAAGGGAATCTGGATAGTTTACAGGGTTTGACATACTCTTTCCTCTCCATTCAACATTTATATGAAGCTACTGGGTGAGATCATTCATCACCATGGACTGAGGTATCATCAATATGCTGATGATATTCAGCTGTATGTCTCAGCCCGTGGTGAGTTAAGCAATGCTGTGTCCTCCCTCTGACAGTGCCTGGAGGCTGTTAGGGGCTGCATGAGGCTGCATGAGGGTTGAAACTAAACCCTTGCAAGATCAAGATCAAGTGGCTCTGGATTTGGGGTTCTTTGGCCCAGGGAGAATTGGATGGGGTGGCACTACTCCAGACAGACCCTGTGCATAATCTGAAGGTTCTCTTGGACTTGTGACTCCTCCTCGAAGAGCAAGTGGCGGTCATGGCCAGTTGGGCACCAGTTATGCCCTTTCCTGGACCAACAATCCCTACTCACTATCACTCAAGAGCCTTGGTAGTACAGGGGTTTAAGGCACCCTGTTATTAAGCTGGTTATTAAGAGCAGCTGCCTGCAATTACTGCAGGGTTCGAATCTCGCCAAGGCTCAAGGTTGACTCAGCCTTCCATCCTTTCTAAGGTAGGTAAATTGAGGACCCAGTTGTGGGGGCAATAAGGTGACTTTGTATAAATATACAAAAGGATGAAGGCTATTGCTGAGCACATTGTAAGCCGCCCTAAGTCTTCGGAGAAGGGCGGCATATAAATCAAATTAAAAAAAAAACTCATGCCCTGGTCACTTCCTGTCTTGACTATTGCAATGTGCTCTACATGGGGCTGCCCTTGAAGAGCATCCGGAAGCACCAGTTGGTGTAAAATGCAGGGGCCTGCATGGTTTTCTGCAGACCTCAATGTGCATATGTATTACTTCTCCTGCAGGAGCTGCATTGGTTGCCAATCTGCTTTTGTGTGCAATTCAAGGTACTGGCTGTCACCTTTAAAACCTTTAATTGCTTGGGACCAGATTATCAGAGGGACCATCTCTTGCCAATCACATCTACCTGACACACCAGAACAGGGAGGAAAGGAATGTTGTGGGTCCCATCCCCTAGGGAGATACATCTGGTGGAACCCAGAAGAAGGGCCTTCTCCATGGTGGCTCTCTCTCTCTGGAACATCATTCCCCCAGAGACCAGAATGGCCTCCACTCTAACACTCTTCCAGAAGGCACTGAAGACCTGGTTCTGCCAGCGGGTCTGGGGAGCCCAGAGTGGGATGCATCCCGTTTGTATGATATATTGTCACCAAGTTGGAGTTGGGGGTTATTTTATTTTATTATTTTATTTTATTAATGTATTATAAAATTGTCTCTTTTATTAATTTTATAGTTTTTATATAAGGTTTTTATATTCTTGTAAGCTGCCTTGAGTTGCCATATGTGAATAGGCGGCAATAAAAAATTCCTAAATAAATGAAAAAATTTGTTAGTATAACAGAATAACAAAGTTTGAAGGGACCTTGGAGGTCTTCTAGTCCGAATCCCTGCTCAAACAGGAAACCCTATACTTTTTCAGACAAGTGGTTATCTAATACCTTCTTAAAAACCTCCAATGCTGAAGCACCTACTGGATTAATTGTTATCCCTGTCAGGAAATTTCTCCTTAGTTCTAGGTTGTTTCTCTCCTTGATCAGTTTCCATCCAATGTTTCTTGTCCTACCTTCAGGTGCTTTGGAGAATAGATTGAGCACCTCTTCCTTGCGTCATCCCCTCAAATATTGGAACACTGTTATCATAACACCCCTGATTTTTTTTTCACAAGACTATATGCATAAAAGCATATCTTCATATAAAGATATAAATAAGAATTTTTTTTTTTAATTTGATTTATATGCCGCCCTTCTCCGGAGACTCAGGGCAGCTTACAATGCGTTAAGCAATAGCCTTTATACTTTTGTATATTTATACGAAGTCAGCTTATTGCCCCCACAATCCGGGTCCTCATTTTACCTACCTTAGAAAGGATGGAAGGCTGAGTCAACCTTGAGCCTGGTAAGATTTGAACTTGCCGTAATTGCAGGCAGCTGATGTTAATAACAGTGCTTTAGTCTGCTGCACCACCAGGGCTCTTGGTTGAATAAAGAATAAAGTTAAAAACAAAATTTAAAAGTAGGGTTGCAGCATTAAATGTTAAAATATGAAGGTGAAAAGAATGCCCTCATGACACCCAGGGTTGCATATCAGTCTTCAATTCCAATGCTGATGAAGTCCAAGGACCGACCTCACAGCTCAGAGTAAGGTGTTCCACAGAGAAGGGGCAACAGCAGAAAAGGCTTTCTTTCTGCGACTTGCCAGCCAAAATTCCTTAAATGACAGAATCTGCAATATACCCTCCCTGCCCGATTAGGTGGGATGGGATCATATAGTGGGGATGATGGATTCTCAAGTAATCAGCAAAAGGATTTTCAAGGTAATAGCAAATACCTTGAATTGGACACAAAAGCAACTGAGAAAAATTGGAGTTTGTATAGCAGAGGTGCTATATGTGGAACCCTAGGGGTATACAATATTGTTTGTGATGCTACATTCTGCACCTGCTACAGCCTCTTCAAGAGTAGCCCCATATAGATTGCATTGCAACAATCCACATGCGCAATGGTGGGATTCAAATAATTTAACAACCGGTTCCCTATCCTAATGACTAGCCAGAATGTTAGAATGGCCATGGTGGGCATGGTCGGGAGGTGTGACAGGCAGCACGTGGCCTCCTGCACCCCCTTGAGAACAAAAACAGGCTGGGGATGCCCCCACGGCCCATTTTGGGCCTAGTAGGCCGACCTGCAGCCTCCTGGGAGCAAAAATGGGCTGCACACCCATGCCCCATTTTGGACCTTCCCTATACTTACCTTGGAGCCGAAATGGGGCACATGGGGACTCCTGGAAGGAGCGGAGCAGGAAGGAGCTGGGCCAGCCAGAAATTTAACAATCAGTTCACCCAAACCATCCTGAACTGGTTGAATCTCACCACTGCCTATGGGAGATGACCAAGATACAAGTTATAGAGAGTAGGGATGAAAAGGCCACAACTGGTGCATAAGAGCCGTGGTGGCACAGTGGTTAGAATGCAGGATTTCAGGCTAATTCTGTTGACTGCTGATTCTCACCAGCTCAAGGTTGACTCAGACTTCCATCCTTCTGAGGTTGGTAAAATAAGGATATGCAATACGATGACCCTGTAAACTGCTTAGAGAGAGCTGCAAAGCACTATGAAGTGGTATATAATTCTAAGTGCTATTGCTTAGAAGATGAAGTTCAGTGAAGGCTTTTCTAAACATGACTGACACCTGCTCCTCAAGCAGAAATCATGAGTCCAGGAGAATCCCCAAATTACACAATAGGTCTGCCGGGGCAGTGCAATACTATCCAGAACAAAAATGGCCAACCCCTGGATACAGAAGAGCCTTCAATCTCATAGCCACTCAAAATAACCAGGGTTCAATTGAAGCCTGTTTTCTTCATCTAATCCCCCACAACATCCTAATGCTATGAAGGAAGATGCACAGCATCAGTTACTTTGCCCAAGAGGAAGATATTCACTTGAGTATCCTCAGCATGCTGATGATACACTTTATTTGTGATGACAAATGAAGTCACTGAGCACCTTCATATAGATACTAAAAAGATACAGAGAAAGCACCTAGTCATATAGCACCCCATAGTTGGTGTTGCAGGCTGGACCTCTTGCTCCCTTTGGAACTGGTCAAAGAGGGAGGGGGTGAACCAGATCAGAAGATTTTTCCCTCTCACAATTCCCAAAGCAAGCTCAAATCCTACCATGATCAAGAAGAGCCAGGATGGATGTACTATCCCTACCCATTACCTCCAGAGATCATCCAAAAGAATGACCAAGGCCATTTCCACCCCATATCCAGCCCTGAAATCTGACAGAAACAGATCCAAATAATTCATTTAATCAAGGATCTTCTGGAACTGCACCTCAACCACCTTCCCTAAAAAGGGCAGGTGGGAGACAGAACCAAAGTTATGAATTGTTTGTGTTCAGCAATACCTTTTTGAAAAATGATACACACTTAATAGTGACTCTATCTTGTTATTGTTCTGATTCATCCCTCATCTTTCTCCAGCAATGCTCTAGATGTCTCTTGACTCTTTTCAACTCTCTCAAATCCTCCATGAAGTACAGAGAATGGCTGGTTCAATGGGATGAAAAAAGTTACATGGGCCTGACCCTATTCAATTCTATCCAAACTCTAGTTGGATAGTGAGGGATTTGGCAGGCCCATAAAGCAGATCCTATGAAACAACTCCCCAACCTCACTGGAGCTGGACCAATTGAATACGTCTTGCAAAAGGGGTTAGCATAGAAAAATCTCAAGGACACCAGGGCCTCATGTATCAGGGATGGATGGATGGATGGATGGATGGATGGATGGATGGAGGAAGGGAGGGAGGGAAGGGAAGGGAAGGGAAGGGAAGGGAGGGAGGGAGGGAGGGAGGGAGGGAGGGAGGGAGGGAGGAAGGAAGGAAGGAAGGAAGGAAGGAAGGAAGGAAGGAAGGAAGGAAGGAAGGAAGTTAATTTTCAAATGCTCACTGTCAGGAAAGGAAATATCTCTGAAATGATGACCAATAAGGTAATGGGTTGTTGTCTATAACATTAAACACTTGACTGCAATAATTTCTTTTCCAGATGCAGATGACTGTTTCCCATGTTCAGAAGATCGGTACCCAAACCAAGCTCACAACCTTTGTATTCCAAAACACATCACATTTTTGTCTCATGAAGAGACTCTGGGAATTAGCTTGACAGCTATTGCTTCCTTCTTTTCTTTCATCTCAGTTATGGTCCTGGGAATCTTCATTAAGCATCGGGACACCCCCATTGTCAGAGCCAACAACCAGAACCTCACCTACATTCTTCTCATTGCTCTCCTCCTCTCCTTCCTTTGCACTTTGCTCTTCATTGGGCAACCAGATAAGGTGAAATGTCTCATGCAACAAACTTCTTTTGGCATCATCTTCTCTGTAGCTCTTTCTTGTATATTGGGGAAAACAATCATAGTGGTCCTTGCTTTCAGGGCCACCAAGCCCGGATCCAAAATGAGGAAATGGGTGGGGAAAAGGCTGGCCAACGCTATAGTTCTTTCATGCTCTTTGACACAATTCTCCATTTGTGCAGTGTGGTTGGCAATTTTCCCCCCATTCCCAGATTCTGACATGCACTCCATGGCTGAAGAAATTGTCCTAGAATGTAAAGAAGGTTCAGCCACTATGTTTTATATTGTTCTTGGTTTCTTGGGATTCTTGACTGCTGTCAGCTTTTCAGTTGCCTTCCTAGCTAGGAAGTTACCTGACAGCTTTAATGAAGCCAAATTTATCACCTTCAGCATGTTGGTCTTTTGTAGTGTCTGTATATCCTTTCTTCCCACTTATCTGAGCACCAAGGGAAAATACATGGTAGCTTTTGAGATCTTTTCCATTTTGGCTTCTGCAGCTGGATTACTGGGTTGCATCTTTTCCCCCAAATGTTACATTATTATTCTGAGGCCCGATTTGAACAGAAAGGAACAGCTAACAAAGAAATGAAACTGATTTACTTGGACTTCCGGTTGACGATCCGTGGCGACATGGCATTGAGTGAGTGACTGCTGCTCCTCAACACCACTAGTCACCGTGTTTTGGGGAACCCTTTGGGGGCGTGGAGCCTGGAGAGCCCCACGGACAAGAGAGTGAGCTGGGTGAGCGTGAACACGGAGTACAAACGCTGATCGCAAGACCGGGCGGCTCTGTCAATCCAATACATGTGAGTCAGCCAATTAATGGCGGACCCGAAGCTGTGGTAACCAGCAACCAGATAGGAAGCAAGGAAGATCAGAGGCTGCAGTGTTGAAATCGGACTAACACACCTTCCCTGCCTATGTGAAATTTGCCATCAGAAAGAGGGGTCGGTGGAGTCGGGTGTGAAAGGCTCGAAGAGGAAAAGAGCGGCGACTGTAAGCAGAGAGCAAACCGAAAAGATATAGTGCCCGACAAGCCAGCAAGGAAAATAAAAGAGCTGATGTGTCGAAATCACGTGCGCAAAGAGAAGATCGGTGAGAAGAAAAAAGAACTCAGAAGATATTTCTTTCCTTTTGTTGACTATTGCAGTAGATCTATTGGAGGCTGAAGCTGGGTGGATCATGCTTGACTGTTCCAGGGAGCAGGAAGCACAGCCATTATAGAGACTTGACTGAGGAAGAATTGAAATGGCTGACTCATGGACAGTCTAGCAGCAAGAAATACTATAGAGTGCTGACTTTGATTAATGGACTTGGTGAAAAAAGAAGCCTGGAGAAGATCGGAGGTTGAGTAATAAAGAATAGTTTACATTCCAAAAGGAGAGAGAGGAAAAAACAACAACTTTAATACTCTTTGACAACCTTTTCTTCAATATCAATATCCTGATTGTTTAAATATAATTATTAATAAGAATTATTAACTCCTTCATCAATTAATTTCTAGATTTGGCATATATAGTATATATCTTTAAATTCAATATCATATTTAGCTTTTAGACTCATTCATCTATTTAAAATTGTATGTACTCCTATCTATAGTATCTATAGTATCTATAGTATTTATTCATATTAATTTATATATAGATTATCAGGAATTAAGTTGGATATAGAAAATTAAGTTTTAGATTATAAGTATTGCATTATTTTGATAGTAGTGTGGTATCATATATTATTAATAGCATCTAAGCATCTATTAAGAGAGGTTAGAAAATCATTGTATGTTAGTAGGACTGAAATCAATGGAAGGACTGGCAAAAATGGAAAAATACATAGCAACACCAACAATACAAACTATTCAATCATCATTGACCTTAATCCAAGAAACTATGATGGCCATGCAGGAAAAAATGTCAAACAACCATGCCGAATTAAAAATAGATATCCATGCACTGGACCAGAAGATGAATGAGATTCAAGTCTCAATATTTAACAACGAACAAAGAATTCAGAAAGTAAAACAAGAATAGAACAAACCGAGAAGAAATTAGACACTGTGGACCAAACACTCACAATGCAAAATAGAGAGCTAGAGGATTCGATAATACAATTGGAGATGGACCGGGCGTCCTTTTACCTGTGTTTCCAAAATATCGCCAAAGACAAAGAGGAGGACCTGGAAGAGAAGATGGCAGAGTTGATTGCAGACGTACTCCAACAAGATAAGCAAGAGATAATTAGAGAATTAGATGACGTATACAGAGTACAGACAAATTACACAAGGAGGAACAGGCTCCCTGTTAAAACATTCACTTCACTATCAGAAAAAAAGAAGAGTGGGGTGGTAATCTACGTAAAGAAAGGAATTGAAGCAAAGCTAAAGTTTAATGATACAAAGGGAAGAACTCTTATGATTGAGATTAGGAGAGGGAACTCCAAAATACTGTTAGTAGGTATATATGTTCCAAATAAAAAACAGGGAGAATATTTTAAGAAACTTCATGAGCAATTAGGAAAAATGAAATATAATGAAATTTGTATAATAGATGATTTTAAAGGTATTGTAGACTTGGATAAAGATTATAAAAGCAATAAAACTAAGAAAAATAAAAGGGCAAATTTACCGAGAGCTTTCTATGATTTAGCGGACGAACTGAATTTAATTGATATATGGCGAACTCTACACCCAAATGACAGATAATATACATTTTATTCAAACCCACAAAAGTCGTGGTCCAGAATAGACATGGCATGGGTCAGCAGAAAGCTTGGATTAGAAATAGGAATGGCAGAAATCAACCCAAGCACCTGGGCAGATCATAACCCCTTAGAAATAAGGTGGAAGAGTGTAAAGAGAAAGAAACAACAGAGATGGAGATTTAATGCCAAACTATTGAGTGATAAAGAATGTGCAAAAACACTTAAAGAAGAAGTAAAGTCCTTTTTCAAGGAAAATGAAAATCAAGGAACACCTCGTGCAATAGTATGGGATGCAATGAAGGCCTACTTAAGAGGGGTTGTGATATCATACAGTGCATACAAAAGTAAGGAAAAAAGAAAGATCCTGGAAGACTATTTAAACCACTTAGGAGAAGCAGAAAGAAAACTCCAAGAAAACCCGGGAGATGAAACAGCTAAAGAAAGTTGGCTGATGTGGAAACACAAACTGAACATCATTGACCAAGAGGAGCTAGTGCAAAAAATAAAAAAGAACGAAACAGTATTATTTTGAGAATGCCAACAAGTCGGGCAGGTGGCTAGCCTATAAATTAAAAAAGGAAAACGAAAAGGGGACAATTCATATATTAGAAGACTCTAAGGGGAAGCTATTGAACAAAGAAGAGGGTAAACTAGAAAGAGCTAGGGAGTTTTATGAGACTCTATATAAAGAAGAGGAGGTTTCAGAAGGAAAAATAGAGCAATATTTGGCAAACACAGAGCTTCTGCAAATAACAGAGGAAGAGATAGAAATGCTTAATAGAAAGATAACAGCTGAAGAACTAAAAACAGTTCTCTCTAAACTTAAAAATAATAAATCGCCAGGCCCGGACGGATTCCCAGGGGAAATATACAAAAAACTAGAAGAAATATTACAACCAAAATTAGTGGAAATTTTCAATGATGTATTGATGGGTTCTAAAATCCCAGAGTTGTGGAAGGAAGCACATGTCACACTAGTGCCGAAAGAAGGTGCCGACCTAAAACAAATTCAGAATTATAGACCAATTTCCCTCATAAATACTGACTATAAGCTATTTATGAGCATAATGGCGGAAAGAACCAAAAAAATACTAAACACTTAGATACATAAAGATCAAAATGGATTCCTCCCGGGGAGGCAAATTAGGGATAATTTGAGAACTGTGTTGGATATCCTAGAATATTATGAAGAACACCCTGAAAAACAGATGGCCTTAGTTTTTGTAGATGCCCAAAAGGCATTCGATAATTTAAATTGGAAATTTATGGTTAAACAAATTGAGGTAATGGGATTCGGAACAATTTTTGAAAAGATGATAAAATCTATTTACGATAATCAAAAGGTGAGTATTTTAGTAAACAGAGACAGGACAAAAACATTCCAGATTAGAAGGGGGTAAAGCAAGGATGCCCCCTGTCACCATTATTGTTTATTTTGGCTCTAGAAGTCCTGCTATGGAAAATTAGAAATAACGAGGAAATAAAAGGTTTAAAGATTAGGAAAGAGGTTTACAAAACTCAAGCATTTGGGGACGATGTAGCCTTAATCTTAGAAGACCCTATAGAATCGGGACAAAAAGTGCTAGAGGAATTGGGCAGATACGGAGAGGTGGCAGGTTTTAAATTGAACAAAACTAAAAGCAAAATATTGACCAAGAATATAACCGAGGTTCGGAAGAAAGAGATAGAAGAATTGTTGGGACTATAGGTTGTTAAAAAAATTAAGTATCTAGGAATTTGGATAGCTACAAGGTGTTCGTCCTTAAAAGATGATAATTATACCCCTTTAATTAGGAAAATGAAACAAGACCTAGATAGATGGAAGAAAATAAAATTGTCACTTTTGGGCAAGATAGCTGCGATTAAGATGAACATCCTCCCCAAAGTACTATTTTTATATCAAAATATACCAGTGAATTTAGATAAAAAAAATTTCTCAGAATTAAATAAAATTATCAGGGAATTTGTATGGGAGGGGAAAAAGCCGAGGTTCTCTCTTAAAATTTTAAGGGGTAAAAGAGATATAGGAGGATTTGGACTTCCCAATTGGGAAACATATTATAGGGCAGCTAAGCTAGTCTGGATAAGGGACTGGGCCACCCTGGAAAATAAGAGGATTTTAACCCTAGAAGGCCACGGTCTACAAAAAGGGTGGCATGCATACCTATGGGACACAGAGAAGAAAAAGAAAACATATTTTCATAGACATAAAATTAGAGATTCATTGATACAAACATGGACTGGAATTAGGCAGAGATATTATAAAAAAAGTCCCAAGATGGCTCTCCACGATGGAGGCCCTGATCTATCCCAATAGATGGGGAATGGAGAAAATATGCAGGTATAAAGACATTTTAGATGAAGGAGGAAATCTTAAATCAAATGATGCCTTGAGAGAGCAAGGAGTAAATCTAGACTGGTGGACCTATCTACAAATAAAATCCAGGTATCAGAAAGATAAAGAACAATGTGGCTTAGAACTAGGATATAATGGGTTGGATAAAGTCCTGATGGGAACAGGTAAAAAGATCCTGGCTAAATTATACAATTATCTATTAGATGAAGACAGAGCTGAGGATATAACAAAGAATCAAATGAGTGCATGGGAGAAAAATATTGGACATGACATACATTTTAATGAATGGGAAGAGGCATGGAATAAGAACTTTAAATTGACCAGAGCCGCGACATATAAGGAAAACCATTATAAGATGCTTCACAGGTGGTATTTAGCCATGGCTAGGCTAGCAAAAATGTATCATAACATACACCCCAACTGCTGGAAATGTGGCTATGGTCAAGGCACCTTCTTTCACATGTGGTGGACATGCCCTGAAGCGAAAGGATATTGGAGTAAGATCAGGGGATGGTTACAAGAAATAATTGGGGAAG